CATCCCATCCCATCCCATCCCATCCATCCCATCCATCCCATCCATCCATCCCATCCATCCCATCCATCCCATCCAATCCCATCCCATCCCATCCCATCCCATCCCATCCCATCCCATCCCATCCCATCCCATCCCATCCATCCCATCCCATCCCATCCCATCCCATCCCATCCCATCCCATCCCATCCCATCCCATCCATCCATCCATCCATCCATCCACCGATCTACCTATCTACCTATCTACCTACCTATCTACCTATCTACCCATCCACCGATCTACCTATCTACCTATCTACCTACCTATCTACCCATCTACCCATCTACCTATCTACCTACCTACCTACCTATCTATCTATCTATCTATCTATCTATCTATCTGTTTGTAGACGCCAATAAGTACAAAATGCCGATGATGCGTGGACACCCAGGCCGCATATCCTAGACCGGGGTCGGTAGATTTGCTTATATTTGCTTCTATAACCCAGCTGTGGTTCTAAGGTTCCATGTTGAGGCCGTAGCGTGGCTTTGTTCAGAGTGGCTTCGTCGGCCGGGCCTCCAACCAGCATTTCCTAAGACAGACCGAAAAGCCCAACCCAAGAGCATCCCAGGTGGATGGCGCTTGAACTACCCCAGGTCGTGGATGTAGAACGACCTTCACCCGCGGATTCGTCCCCCCCACTCCATGGCGAAGTCACTGCCCGTGCTCGGTCGCGAGACCGACCGCCGAGGCCCCGCCGTGGGCTATGCTGAAGCGGCCACGCGGCGTGCCTCGGACGGACAGGTGGTTGGCCTCACGTGCCGTCGAGTCACGGTGGAGTGACCCGTCAGCGAGGGACAGGGGTCAAACATGAACATACAGAACACACACTATGGTGCAAAACCCTAAGCCGCAAGGCTCAAGGGCGAGCGCAAGAGTCAACATAACAGTTTGCAAGCGAGGTTCAAAGCAAGTATGTCAACTCCACATACACCAAAACCACCAAAACGGTTGACATGTTTCATTCCCACCGGGTGCTGGGACCACTCACCAACTGGGCATGAGTGAGATGATTCGCCTGCCTTCACCTCTCTTCAGTTTAGCTTGACAAGCCTGATGTTTGCCAAAACCTGGCCAATGGTCCAAATAGCCCAGTTTGGTGACTCACTTGCCATCATCTAAAGGTTAAAAGTTAAAGAGCTTAGTAGTTTCTTGTTACTAGTAGCGCTGCACTTGTTACTGATAGCTTTTGCTTCTTGTTACTAGTAGTACTGCCCTTGTTCCTAGTAACGATGCCCTTGTTATACTTGGGTCATTCCATGTTTGAAGCCAACAGGGCATTCTGAGATATCGACTTCGCTGTTCTGCAAACTAGAAGGTGCTGAGCCTGAGGGGTGATCTGTACCAACTCATTTTCCAGGCTATTGCCCCCCCACCTCACCACTGCATTCAGGTCTTTGGCTGGAGGAGCGTGACCCGGCGATGGCCAAAGCAGTGATCGCAGCGGCTAGGCTTGGCTTTGACGATCAAACAGGCTTCATCCAGGTGATGAACAAACATGAAAAAACGAGGTAATCCACTTCGATCACCTAGATCCACCTGGTTGCAGGAAACACTGGCCTTGTTTTGTCTGAAGTGACACTTGAGCACTAAGTGCTGTGATGAATAAGAAACTCTCCGCCAAGGCATTTGTGTGGTCCCAGCATGAAACAGAAGGGACGAGTCAGTGCAGGTATGCATGTGACAATGAGGCCTATTTACATCTACCATGTCCTGACCAGACCATGTATGGCTTCATATGGCCTCACAAGTAGACTCCAGAGGATACCTCCCAAGCAAAGCAGGCAAAGGTAACTTTCAGGGTTCCTGCATGTTTCTGATGTTCACTGCCTTGCCAGTATCCAAAACAATGATCGATCATTAAAGGACAGCTGTAGCCGGACAAACGAGACTACTAACATACAACGCGCTGGCCCCGATGGAGGCATTCCATTCACCCAGACACTCCGATGGAGCACATTTAACAATAATCATTTTGGTGTGATTGTTTCAGGGATCAATGTAGCTTTGGACATTCCAGTTCCATCTCTTGCGTGTTCGGATGCTCAGGGTCACCAAGTGATCCTTTTTCAACCACCCCCTACCTGGAGTTTCAGTTTGTACCTCAGAAAATGGGCACAAGTACCTGTTTCTATAGTGTCATGTCCGACATGTCCCATTTTCTAAGGTACTTGAAGTCGGGTCCCGGTACATGAACCAACAACATTCCAGTCCATCCCCCTCCGGTGACATGGCGGGTCAAAACCGTATAACGGTGTTATTCCCACCGAACATCAACCAGAGTTTTGACCCCAATATCGCCATGTCTCCTGTGCTTTTTTCTCCCCAACACCTGAAACCAAGCAACGCTGCTCCATCTGCCGCCCTGAGGCACTGGAGGGTCGACCCTGTCGTGTCCTCTTCGGCGACGCGATCAACGAGCCGAAGCAGCGGGCCGTGCTGCAGGCAGTTTCACCGGAGAGGAGAAGAGCTCTTGGAGGAAGGAGTGAAGAGCTCTTGGGGTTGTAGGATGACCCCAAATGAGGACGATTTGGCGCAGCTGCTTTGGTTGTTGGAAGCGATGGTCTTTGATTTCTATTGCAAAGTGAATTTTCTTTGGAGACTTCTCATCAAGTTGCATTTTGTTGATATGTCATGTTGATGTGCTGGACTACCTGTTGCCTTTACCATTCTTTGGCTTCTACTTTGCGATGTCCTGTCCTTCGTGGGATCAAGAGCTTGATTTCACCCCTCACTTCGACTTCCCACTGCGGTATAGGCATGATTGATCAAAAAATCCACGACAATCTATTTTTGTTTTTTTCAGCCCTAGTTCTCTGTTGATGTGAACCTATATACAGTATGAATCTATAGTCCATAACTGAACTTACATTCCAACTGTCAGCCACATTATGCGTGGCGGCATGGCACTCCTTGGGTTTCACGGCGGGCGTTGGGATCCCTTCGAGCCCACGAGAGTGGGGTCGGGAATGCGACGCAAGAGCCAGGGCAGAGCCCACTTGAAGGGTTGGTAGTCTTAAGTCTGATGCTTTGCTGGGGCCGACCTTGGTTCTTTGACCATGTGAGGACAGGAAGAGGGCGGCATCAACCCGAGGGCTGGAAAATGGTCGAAGTCACAGCTCGCAGAATCACCGAAAGGAAACATCATATAAGCACCACATGCTTGGCCTAGAGGTCTTGCAAGGATGTTCTTCCAAATTCATTGCAGACCGGGCATGCCGGAGTTTGCTGAACATGTGAATCCACCTAGACTGTTTCACCATGCGAACTTGGGGAATCCGTTTGTTGCAAACTTTGATGATGAAAGAACTGATGAAAGAGATCCCCCCACCTGTTGACACCCTGTCCTTGGTAAGCCGGAGGCCACAGGAGTGTCCTTTGGTTCCAATCTTGGTCAGGTGGGCTGCTGCCATGTAGAGGGCATTGTAGCTGCCCTCCAGCGTGAAGGCTATGAGGCGCATGCTATGATTGGTTCGATGGAAAGTGGGATGCACCACCACAATGTGCAGGGGCAAGACTGCAAATGCTGAAGGCTTCCAAGTCTCGCTCCTTGAGTGCCAGCTTTGGCTTCCGATGTGTTCCGAGCCGGGTTCCCCAGAAGACACCTACAAGTTCTCACGTGGCCTCAGCCCCTTGAGGCCGGTCTCTTTAGTAGGGCTTCCAATCTTCCCAGCGTTGGTCTATGCAAACGTCCACTGAGACGTGTGTCCACCTCCCGTCCACTGGACCTCGGTCTTTGAGCTACAACCCGCCGCGGCCATCCATCGGTTTGGGGTTCATGTGTGTTCCCAGATTTCGTGTATTTGAGACCTAAAGCCACCGCGATCTTTCAAGTTGGCATCCTTTTTCGAAATCACTGCGAAATGCGTTGTTTGGATTCTGCCATCGTAGGGTCATGCAAGAATCATCCGGAACCAATTGCCATTGATACGCATTGGTAGGACGTGCCTTTTTCTTTTTTTTCGGGGGTCCTGCTTTGGGGACAGCCGAGTCCTCCTGGATATTGCATGATATTGCAAGAAAGGCCCTCCACCAACGTTACAAGTGGGGCACGGGAAGGATCCCATGTGACAGCGAAGTGACATCAGTTGGATGTCGAAGTTATCCCTCAAGGTTCGACCGATCCCATCCTATGGTTTTTGCTGCGTGCGGTCCTAGGCCCCCTTGTTCAACCATCCCAATTTGGGCCAAGCATGCCACTCCCATGGAGTCTTTGAACAGTCATCCACTTCACAAAGATTTGAGGCGCTCGCGGAGCCTTCGGGTGGTTGGCCCTCTCTGCAGCCTCTCAAGTCCAAGGACCGGATGTTGTAGAGCGGGTCGACCAGGGTGAGCAAGTGTTTCGTGTCGTTGTTGGGGCCAAATCAATCATTCTCAATCATGCAGGCCCTGGTTTTTCTTGGGAGTCTGAGGTGTAATTGAGGTATAATTCTTGTTTACCTTTGGTTGTGTTTTAAACATGTCAGATTTCAGGTACCTTCATAGCCAATGCAATTTGGGTGTTCCTTTTGAACCACTGTCTTGTCTTTACGAGGCCAAAGCGACTCAGAAAAGGAATCAATCAAAGATGTACAGTGGTTTCAGAGTAGATTGGACAATCTGGCAGTGTGATGTTTCGTTCCACATGCCAACTCTCCAACTCTTTGACTTTGATTTATGATTCTTTTGTGTTTGGCTTTTGGCCCTTCCCGCAGTCACCTTGAAGAGGGGTACTCCAGTGGTGAAGCTGTGTACCCGGACTTAAAAAGCGCATCGCAGACCCCCTTGTCTTCATGGAAGAAACTCACGAAACGGATATAATATACACGTTGGCTCTGAACGAATGTAAGCACACTGATACTATCACTGGGTAAGTTCATGTTCAACCCCAAAACTGTCAATGTACCTTACTTTCCAAGTACCAAACAAGTCATCATGTACTCCGGTGGACTGGAGCCTAACCGGTGGAGCTTTGGAGGAGCAAACCCTACCGGCGACCGGTGCTGGACCGAGCCTGAAAGCGCTCCCGATGGCTCCGGCGTTCCGGTTCGGTTCGGAGGCCAGTGCCGCTGCGGCTGCCGCGAGGACGCCGGGTCCAAGCACGGGAGACATGGGTGGAGGCAGTGCCGCAATCCTGCCGTCGGGAACGACGTGTTTTTCAGTGCTGCGGAGTGTAGACCTCAGGCTGTGGGTCGGAGTGTAGACCCTGGCAGGTTGACCTCCCAAAGAAGTCTGTTCATGTTCTGTCCCGCCATATGGAAAAAGGCACTCCATGGGAATGGAATATTCACCTACCTTGGGGTGGTTGAAAAGGGGTGAATGTCGAGTTTCAGCAAGGAAGTTCCATGGCTTTCGAGATTGCACATGTTTTGGTTTGAGCTTGCAGCACTCAGAAATCTGTTCAAGAGAAGAAAGCAGTGCCACCAAGGATTCAAGGGTATATATTCCAAGGGTGACTTTTCCCCAGGCTTCACAGGCTTCCCAGTTTCCAAAGGTCAGAGTTGGAGCACTACACCATGGAACATGATTGAACCTGTGGGAGGGCATGGATTGTTTGGCAAGAGATTGTTCAAAAAGATGGGATTTATATAAATTGCGAAGACCTGACCAAGATCATTCGGCTTCGTAGCTTCGGTTTTTGGATTGGTTGTGTGGAAGAATTTGAGACAACCACCTGGTTCTTGATCAATGGAGTTTTTGATTTACCACCATATGGCCATATGATGTTTTTTGCTTACTTTTGCTTAAAGTGTGAATGAGCCATATTTCACCATGGTTTCTTTGTGAGATCATGTCAACCTGACGACATTCCAGGATCATTGGACGCACGTTTTGCTAAAGACATAAAACCAAGGTGAGAACAGATTTGAGCAGTCTACTGTCTACTCATCAATCCTAAGTACTGGCGCCTTTTGCAACCAGTTCCTGCAAGCAAACATTCAAACCACAAACCACCCGATTCAGTTTCGGAATCCCATGACCCGGGGGGAAGTTGATGAAGTTCCTTCGAGTTTGAGGCATCACCTGCGTTCCATCACACAGGAGCAGCCCCGACGGAGCGCTCCCCGGTCGCCGCGCAGCACGACGCACAGCACGCGGACGCGGCGGCTTCGCGTGGGGAGCCTTGGGTCGGGGACGCGGCGCTTCCACGACAGTCGCCGGTGAAACATCCGTAAGACAAACATGATCTACAAATTTTGAAAATGGTCCTCGGTCCCCAATAGGTCCATGTCCATGTTTCTTTTTTTCTTCAAGCTTGGATTGTGTCCTACACAAGCCTCGTTTGAGGTTTCCAGAACATCAGCATGTATAGGCAACCAAGGACCATGTCAAATTACCTCGATGTGAATGGAGAGGATGTCACCCCCAAAGGCTACATAGGTCACCATGTTTCGCGTGGCCCGGTCGAATGGCCCAACTTCCGGGTGAAGCCCCACGGTCACGATCGTGCGACCCGTGGGATGTCAGAGCTGTGACTTGATCATCCAAGAAGACCAGGGGCCTTTTCACTCCGAAAAAGAATTCACCTTTGTTTTTGGGAGTGTCTTTAATTAAGGGATTTCTTGATATGTCTTGGATGCGTTTATGGAAAACAAATGACACCAGGTCCTCGGGAAAGATCCAGTATAAGGCACTTTGTCAGTTCTTTCGTGCCGTTTGTACTGCAGGTGACCCCGGCGCAGCGGCGCCCGTACTACGGTCCCAGATGGAGATGGAGATGCTGCAACGATACTTGGCCATGAACCTGGGCCACCCTCTCTGCTGTTAGCAGAAAGTACTCGAATCATAAGAAAAGAACATCAAACAAAAACACGAGCACTTCTGTGCTTTTGGTATACACTCTTCACACCGCTTGAAGCGCCGATCCGTACGTGTTCTATTCTAGAAGCTTCGAAGTGTATTTTGAGGCCACCGGCAACACCATTGCACCTCCGCATGAAATGCTGCACCCGCTGCGCCGAGGCACTGAGCCCGTGCAGCCGACGACGCCCACGACGGCCGACGACACGCGGTGCGCGGCATGGTCGACGCGGCGGAGAAGAAAAGAGATGGCCGCAGCATAAAGGGGCCGGTGCTTGGATTCCGATGGAGACTGATCACTAACTTTCCGGTGGGTGTTCATGGAAATTCAATCATCCAGTCCTTGGGTGAAAAAGCCGAGTTTTCGTTTGTGGCCTGACCATCTTGGCTAGTTTGACACTGGTGCATGGGGGTGTGATATATTTTGAGACAGGTGTGATTGCACCGATGATGCCAATGCCAGCGATTAATACGATGGTGCAGATCTTGCAAATGTTCTTAGGCTAAGAGGGACAAGGAGTATCAGGCTTTACTACAATCTTTGCACAACTCCTACCGCCGCCGCCGTCACATGCTTGTTTTGATGATAGATCGTTATCGGTCACAGTCCCTAGTTTCGCACCACTTAGTTTCAGAAGAACTCTGCAGCAACACGTTCATCAGCTCAAGACCTGCCATTTGCTCAAGAAGCAGACCGGAGGTTTGCACCACTCGAATACTGTGGACTTGTGCCATTTTACCCATCCAATCCTTGCCCGTGCCATACCCAGACACTCCATGCATGCCATATACTACATTGACCCCCCAAAAACCACCCCTGGCCGTTTCTCGGCAGTCCTATGGCAGTCCTGTCGTGTCTGGGATAGGGGGCCACCAGACTCCAAGACTGGCCACCAAACTCCAAGACTCCAAAAAGTGTTTGTTGTTTGTTGTCTTCACGGTGTTGGAGTTTTTCCTGGAGGTGTAAGTTTGGAGATTCCTATTAGAGGTGAGAATCCGCACCCCTGTTTTTTTCATGTGTTTTTTCCAATGGTGGTGATTTCGACTTGTGTGCGTTGGGTGACAGTGGTATATTGAAAGATATTTTCCGGATCCCCAACCAATCAGTTCATTTATTGTTACTCTTTACTCAAGTGTTCTTGGGCAGTTTACTTGACAAAGTTCACCCACACGTCGATGCTGCAGCACCTCTTCCTCCGATTTCACGTTTCGACGAGACCGAGACCTGCTACGGACCGAGACCGTGCATGGCGAACGATGGGAAATTGGCGAAAGCACAACGATTTGCTCATGCAGCGCATGGAACAATGAGCTGGAATCCCATTGGAAAAGGAGTCATCATGTTCAAGTCATGCGAGGCTTACTGAAGCACTCAGGTTGCTCCAGGCATTCTTCTGAACCGCCTTGCCAAGGCTTTCTGCAAACCAATCACCGAACAACTGCAGGCTTGAGCTGTCCACCCCATTCTCCTCGTCAAGCGAGAACACTTAGTACCTTCATGTCCCTTGCTCACCTCCCCATTGTGCGCAGCAAGTGTTCTTTGGTACGAGAGATGGTGCTGAGACCCTGATCTCGCTTCTTATCTCACTCGTCCAAGCTTCCCTCACACATCCCCACGCCAACAACCTCCCTACGACTTGTGTTTGGGCACCATACGCACTGCCCATGATGAGCGCGGAGGAGACGTTTGGACACCCAGATGGCAGGTGTATGGATGATTATGAATGGCTTGACCAGTGAACAAAAAAGTGAAATCAACTCATGCGATCCGTATAGTACTTGATTCATCTTGATTCGTATCAAGTGGCTTCCTGACTTTGTTTTCATCCAATCACCATCTTTGTTGAAATTAGGTCATGCCATCATGCCATTACCATATATTATTCTTATTGGAATTAGACCTTATTAGAATCAAGGACCCCTGAAGCACCAGGAGAAGCGCCAGCAACGTGAGACTCCCGGACATGGTCGGGCCGGTCTCGCCGGTCTTGCCGTGGATCGGGGAATTCCCTCCCTGAAGTAACTTCTTTCGGAGGCGACGGAAAAGCATCAGGCTGAGGGTCGCAAGAAAACCTATGAGGTCCTCAGAGGTCCTCCGAAGACATACTATTTATCTCAAATGTGTTGACTATAGGAAAACCTTCTTCTGATTTCATGGAATGTCGTTATGTGTTGGCCTAAGTGATGCCATAGGGAGGTAACCTTGCCAGGTTGGAGGTTGGATGAGCTTACATTTTGTTGGCCCCTTTTTTGTTTCGCCTTGGATGTTTGGAGCTCTTGTTGGTTTTCTTTGCTTGGACCGTAGCTTGCAAGTGACTATAGCTTCACCGGTCTACGAGACTGGTCGACACTCCTCTCGGTCGACGAAAAAAAACCGCCCTCTCGTGTCAGTTCGGGTGTTCATCGCCAAAAGCTGCCAAAGTCAGGAAACCAAAAGCTGCAACTGTTCCAAACAGGTCCAGCTGCTTCTTTTTCGCCCCGACTCCACTTCCCCCGAACAAATCACTTTGCTCACTGCAGCCCAGCTTCCGCTCTGCTCGTTCTTTCCAAAACCAACAACCCGCCGGTCGTAGGTCGGGTTCATCAACCTCTTCCCCCTCTCGCAGGTCGGAACGGCCGGAAGATTCCACCCTGCTCCGCATCTCCCGCGGGTGGCTGGGCGATCGAAGCGGAGGGACAGGCGATTGACCTGGTATTTTGTAGTCTCAAAGTCTCAAAATCCTCAATTCATATTAATTACTGTAAGTTGTTTTGAGACTACACCTGTAGAAAGCTGTAAACCAGTAATAGTAATTAAGTGTTTTCGATTTTTTTTCTGCCGTTTCCTCCAGTTGCAAAGCTTATCCAAACTCCAGGATCTTGTAGGTTTAGCAACAAGCTCATCGCGCGCTGTATCCTTATCACCTTCTATGATAGCTTCAGGGGGTATACTGCGATGTATACTGTACACTGACGCATACTGTTTTTTTTGTTTTTCTGATTACGATGTATATAAGCTAATACCTACACTCTCCTTGACTCATTTTGTGTCGGGTTCGGTACGACTGGGCCCGACCCTGGCGCCTACATAAATAGTCTCCCTGCTCACCGTACCTCAGGATGTATCTGGATTGAGAGGTATATTATATATGCCATACACATGGAGTGTCACAAATGCGTTCCCTGGGCTCCTGGCCTCCCTCGGTGAAGTTCATGTCCGGTGGGTGTGACTGTGTGATAGGGGGTGTCCGGTGCCCGTTTGGTCTACAGAGCGGAGGACTGTGACGAGCACTCGGTGGTTCTTGATGTTTCTTCTTAATTGGCACGGATTCAATGACGGTTTGATCCCACCATGTGGGAATTGAGCCAAGAGTCTTGACGAGATACGAGATAGATTCACATTTGGTCCACTTGCTGTAATTCCACTGCAGCGCTGGTTTTGCTGGTTTTGGTTGCTGGTGATGAAGACATCGTAGTGACAATAGGCTGGTGATGACAAACCCCAGCGTTGGGAGCTTAATCTGTCACCTCATGCTCTTCCCAATACCCTTAAGCAGCTTGTGCACCCTTTCCACGTCAGTCTGACCATCATCAGTCCCTGGACTTGTTTTCGGAGTGGCCTTCCCACGAGTGATATCCTCCAACGAGCCTGGCATTCTTTTTGGCCTCGGACACATCATGAAACATCACTCCATTTGGAGATCAGACTTCTCTCCCTCCATGGAGGTGTGGGAAATGCCCTCCTTTTCATGCGGTTTCTCCTTGTTTTTCGTGCGTCTTGGAGGACCAATGACCCTCCGTCGCCCGTCGCCGCTGAGGCTGGGCGTGGCCTTTTGGGTCGCCGCCGTGGCCAACGGCATCTTCCTGGCGCGGCACCCCGGTCGTCATGGGCAGAGCCCTGTGGCTCTGGGGGGCCGCAGGGACACAAGGCGGCGCAAGTCAAGTTGTCGCGGGTTGCCACAAAGGAGACAACCCCGACTACAGTAAATGTAGACTCTTGATCAATTCAGACTAAGACCTTCCAGACATGGATTATCATGGGTTCTCAAAACTTGTTGTTTTCTTTAATCAAGAGTTTGTACTTCACCACACACCATGGTCGAAATCTCTGCCACAGACCGAAATCTTGGCCGCCGCGTGGTGTGGACAGGAACCCAATAGCTGCACCCGGTAGAGGAAGTCGTTGTAAACTATTGGGGAGCTTCCTGTGAGTTTCGGCGGTCAAAAATAGATCTTGCTAGAATGGGTGACCTGAACACGTGATATGACCTGAACAAGCAATGGTTCAAGTTTGAAGGGATAAGGTTTTCTCTGGGCACATGGTTCAACGACTCATAGACGTCGAGACCTGTTGAGCTCGACCAAAGAACCAAAGCAAGCGCTTACTATAGGGGCACCTATAGGGGCACCGCCTCGCCGTTCCGTTCACGTGTCGCCCCTCCGCGGTACATGGTGGGCCGAGCCTGGGCCGAAGCTGGGCACTCCCAAACTCACCCATGGTCACTCGCCATTCCGAGGTCTTCTCCCTTCGAAGTCATACCTTTTGGTGCGGGGCGTCGTTTCTTTTTTCTCGGGTGTGTGTGTGTGGGGGTTTGGTGCTGCGGAGGCTGAAGCGTTGTTCGTTTGTATCATCCACGGGTACCGGGAATGGGATTGACCGTATAGTAAGTGGCGATGTACTGGAAACTGACGAACTCGTTGAGGGTTGAGGATCTCGTAACGCTATACTACAGGAAACGGGTGATTTTCGTCCGAACTCTTTCTAACGCGGGTTCTTCCGCGCCGTTTCGACCAGCGGTGCCGCACCCTGTGGCCTCCTTCTCCGGGTGTTTCGTTGGTGTGTTACACCCGGGGGCCGGGGCTTCGGACTCGATGAAACCACTAATTACGGCGACCTCAGTGAGGACAGGTGTCCGAACTGGCCATTTCTTGCACATGTTCATTGTGAGATGTTTGGGTTCTGTATAAACCAGCCATGCGAGATGTTTTGGATCACATGTTCGTGCACAGTTGCGTCCATTTGCCTGCCGTCATTCACTCTACATGTGCTTAATGTGGCACAAAACCCAGCCGGTAGATATTTGAATACATGCAGATGTGTGTACTAAAGCTTTTGCTCACTTAATACAATTTGTGTCTCACTTTGGTGATGTCTAAAGACATCGGCTTTTTGCGAGAGGAAGAGGCTCAAGGCTAGAGGAAGACATCAAAACAGCCTCATCCACATCCCTCAGCTGGGTGCTGAGTCCATCCCTGTCCAGCCACAGGGACCCTCTCCACGTCGGGTGGTGAAGGTCAGATCCTGTCTCAAACACTCCAATTGATCATTGCAGACATTCACCCCCAGTGATCACCCGAATTTCGAGAATTATGCATATACTCCTCACTGCCAGGTCACCAATGGTTCAACCTGCAACAGGGCCTAACACCCAACCCTCCAGCCATCGGAGACCGGTTCGGTGCTGGTATGCAGAAAAAACCTGCATATGGAGTGCTTAAGGTGAAGAGATCGGCAAGATATCACCGGTTTTTGCCAGACGTGTTTCTTCGTTTCTTCGGGCAGGTCCAGCATTCACCAGCTCTCAGGAGGCTTGCTCCTAGTGTGGAGACTCAGTTTTTTACTGCGAAACACCAACCACGACAGTGTGAAGGCTCTACTGAGTGGTAGACTCTATAGTAGAGCCTGCTTCCTCTTAGTGCTTTAGGTGTTCAAAGGTAATTTAGCTTTGGCCTAACAGTTCCTCAGAGTCCCACCACGACAGTTTCTTTCTTGGGGTTTTCGGAGCATTGTTACCCTAGTTTCAACCATCACTTTGAGATGCGTTTGTTTTTTTTTCAATTTGTTCATGTTATTTTCTCATCGATCTGGACTGTCCATAGGAGAGGTCATGATATATATATATATGATGGTTGTTCTTGACTATTATAGATTACTCTGGAGGTAGTTCTGGAGGTCATACATCACTTGTGTTCCTCTTACTATGGACATGAAATTCCAGTGCCCCATGTGTAGCAGTTGTCAACAAGTCTTGAGGCAATGTAGCAGAACGTATACCCATATAGGGGATATTGGAGTAGTTCAGTCGACTTCGCAGGTTTCGAGACAGCTAAAGAACATGGACATTGCAGTCCTCAGCCAAGGTTAACCGAATTTGTAGCAGTTGCAAGTCCTTGGAGGCAATCTCCATGTGTGGAATCTCCAAAAAAAGAGAAAACTTCCAAAACATTCCAAAACGATGGAGTAGTAGTACAGGAAAGCTATACGACAGCCAAGAGCTATCCATGTTGTATCCATTGAATGACGCGTTATTCTCGCAGGTCCTGGTCGCGGGCGCTTGTGGTGCATGGGAGGTGGGAACGCAGATGGCGGCACTTCACGGGGAACATGGGACTGTGGCCTTTGCAGGCGGCCTGGAATTTGGACACCCAGATTTAAGAATGGGCAGCTTCAATCGAAATACTGAACATTCCAGGATGATTATATCGAGATTGGCCGAAAGTCTTTGAGAGTCTATATATAGATCCTGAAGTCAGTAGGCCGTTGCGAGTAGTTGCATCCGTTGGGGGAGGCGAGCCAGGTTGAACAACACTCTAACAACTCTAACAAGGATTGATTCGATTGAAGGTGATGTCACGGATTGATTCACCAGCATGATTTGTGAGGAAGCTCTCAGGCAATGGTTTTTTGCCACAGCTTGCTTGCGTGACCTGCTAAGCTTCAGCTTGATGCCTAAGCTGAGCTATATATATATATATATATATAGACAAATCCTGGAGGTTTCTTTCCAGCTCACACGGTCGGAGGCTCAAGCCTGTTCCCCTCGGTGATGCTCCCGGCACGCCAGGTGAAGGCCATGAGAAAGGCCGATGAGGAGCGATGGTGCACCAAGGCGATGGAACCGGTCGAAGCGGACTCGAAGCGAAGGGGTCGAAGGGGTTGTGGTTGCCCGTTTCTGGCGACAAAAGACCCAGGGGTCCACAGAGTATGATAGAGTAAATGTATAGACTCTTTTTCGTAGACTCTTGATGAATAAACCGCCCGTATGCCGAGGATTTCCAATTCAAATTGACGAAAAAAGGTTAACCCGCACACACACACACAACTGAGAAACAATATCGTAACATATCGTAACTACACTGGCCATACAGAATGCATCATTTACTGTTTTGGGGGTTGAACACCATGTCATGGCTTTGGGTATGGAGGGCTACTACGCGGTGCACTTGTTGTTAAAACCTTGTATACATCCCCCTACGATCCATGCGACCTGTGCATTTTCCTCCATGCGACTGATGACCGATCAGTTGCAGTGCTCTTTCCAGTCCCGGAGGAGTGGGGAGCTGGGATCCCGGCTTCACTTCACCCCCCCAAACCCATGCAGTCGCGCTGCCGGACCGGGAAACGACGAGAAAACTGCATCGTTTTGCCTCGCTGTCTGGTCAACGAGCCGAGGGGGTTCGTGCTGGGACCGACCCGAAGAACATCTTTGGACTGACACATCTCATTTCGATTCTGTCGGACACTCCATGGCTGATATAGCTGCCAGCTCTTCTCAACACCAAGTTTGTTGCATTAAGATGCATTAAGATCATCAGCGCCGGCATCTACTCCATTCGGTGCTTGCTCTTTGTGAGGCAGCTAGGGAGACGTTCCTTGCTGGCATGTATTTTGTGCCTTGGAGCAGCCTGGGGATGAGGGAGATCGATTGGATCCTCTGATGAATGGGCTCAACATGCCTTGATATTAGAATCATACTATATAGATCTTTGAAAGTTGAGTTTGCTCTTCGGTGTTGGGCAGGCGGAGGAACATGGTTGTTCATGTTCGCTTGGATCAAGGCCTGAAGCCATTTCGTGCTGCGCCTTAGGTGAAAACGGCGCGCTGGCAGACGCTCTTGCTAGTGCGTCTACAGTGGCACCGGAGCCTATCTCGATCTGGGCATTGCACTCCGCCGTTGCTTGCTTTGCTTCGCCTCGCTTTGCCTCGTTTCTCCTCGTCTTCGTGGCCTTCAAGCTAAGCTTCTGGGCTGCTCCACACGACCTCGAGCCAGACGCTCTGGACTTCGTGGTCGGTGCCAACCTTTTGAGAATAACTAGATTCTCTTGTTTGTGGATACCTTTTTCTTGAACCACTTCACTGTGCCCTTGCCGCCGAGCAGTGCCTTGTTGGAGTGACCTTTGAGGGTACATAGACCCACCTTTTGCTTTGGGCCCTACCATTGTTGCGCAACTTCACTTTCGGTCTAAGACCACCTTTTCTTTGGAGAGCTTCAGAACTTGCGGAGCTCCTTGAACACCTTGCAGCAGCCTCACTTTTGTTTTTGGCCAATTTGGCCGTGAAGATGACTTCAGCCGAAGAATCCGGCACCAGCTCTTGGTACCGGGTGCCGACGTGGTCGGGCAACCCGGCGGAATGGCGACAGTTCCGCCGGGAGATGAACTGGTGGATGGCTTCGCTGGATGAAGAATCCTGCAAGAAGTTCAATGTTGCCGCCCGATGGGCACTTAGACAATATGGTGTGGTCAGGGCTCGTTGTGAAGAATTCGATCCCCAGGATCTTGAAGGGACCAAGGAAGAAGCCATGACCGATCCTGACACCGGCGACAAAGTGATTCGGGTTGCTGCAGACCCTTTTGCTGGCCTCAAGAAACTCATGACTGCCTTGGAGGCCACGGTTGGGAAGACAGCTTTGGATAGAAAGGGAGAACTCCGATCCCTTTACTATCAAGAAATCAAACGCAGCCCTGGAGAGAGAATCTCAGCATTTTGCACGAGATTCCGGACACTTGCAGCTGAGCTCAAACGGGAAGGCATAGTGATGCCGGAGGAGGAGTTAGGCTGGATGTTGAAAGAACGTTTGGGACTGGATGCAATCAGGAAGCAGTTGCTGGAGACAGCATTGGCAGGTCGGGAGAACTATGATGTGGTCGAATCAGAATGCCTTCGTCTGTTTCGAGATTTGCACTCCTCCGACCCTTTGAACAAGAGCCGACCTTTTGACAAGGCACCACTACTCCAGCGTTTCCTACAGTCCCATGACAGACACAGCTCCTCTTCGTCCTACAGGCCTTCGACTACAGCCAGCTCGACGGCTCCCTCTTCTCGCTCCTTCCGGACTCAGAGCTCTGGTTCCAGCCGGCCACCTTTCAAGCGTTTTGGCCAGCAGCCTCAACCTCGACAAGCCTTGATTGCCGAGGCCCCTGAAGAGGAAGGCCAGATGGAGGCGGAAGATGAAGAGCTGATTCCAGACGATGATGGTCAGGGTTACCCTCCTGAGAACCTGACGATCGAAGAAGTCCTCCAGACCGAAGCTGAGCTTCTTGCCCAAGAGCTGCAGGAGCTCGAGACTGAAGGTTGCGACCCTCGAGTGCTTGAAGATTTGGAGAGCGGCATGGAACAGGCCGCAGAGAGTCTGTTGACAATGCGTGAAGCACGCACCAAAATAGCTGAGGTCAAGAAAGACCGTGGATATGGAAAGCCTGGCCAACCGGCTCCTCGTTCGACGAAGCCCCATGGCAATCAAGTCCCTCGCCAAAAGAGCACTACCAAGTGCTTCGATTGTGGTGAGATGGGACACTGGGCTGGTGATGCAGGCTGCAAGGCCCCTGGTGCTGGCCTGGCTCGACCCAAAGGAAAGCCTAAGAGCCAGATGACGAAGCAGGTCCGTGTCACCGAGATCCTGAACACTGAACATGTGGCTCCTGAAGAACCTGATGGCCACGAGGTCATGACAGTGGCCGCCGGCGATTCATGGGATCGCCCATTGTTCGAAGTCCTCATGCAGCACCATACCGACCCCAAGAACACTCCACGTCTCGCACAAGACAAAAGATTCGTTGGAGCTTTGGATAGTGCTTGCAATAGAACATGTGCAGGTTCCTCATGGTTGGCCTTCTACCTCCAAGCCCTCGAACGTGCTCCTTCCTATATCCAGAACCTCATCATCACCACCCCCGAGAATGAGTTGTTCAGGTTTGGAAATGGTGGTACCCAAAGAAGCACCGTGAGGTACAGACTCCCTATGGCCCTGGGTTCGACTTTGGTTTTGGTGTGGGTGTCAATAGTGCCAGTGCCATCGTTGGGGCTCCTTTTGGGAAGAGACTTTTTGAGCGCTATCGGTGCGGTCCTTTCGTTCGGCCGCAAGCTACTGAGAGCTGACTTGGTGGGTGGCGGACTTTTGGAGTTGGGTCAGCTGGCCGCAGGCCACTTCGCCCTTCCACTCCAGCCACGCCAATGGCCTCGTCCGGACTCCCAACGCTGGCGGAAACTTGGACAAGACGGCATAGTTGAACTTCAGTTGAACAGTTTTGATTTTTGGAAGAAACAGTTGCAATTGAAGATGAGTCATTTTGAAGTGCCTTTTGAGTCAACCTCCGAAGCACCGCATGAGCACCTTGTGACAGAGCATGCGATCCTTGCTGCGACGTCGGCCGGGGCTCAAGCTATGAAGGTGGCTCAAACACGTCCTTCAGCCCCGACGACATCCTCTTCGACGACCTTTCGAGACCTCGCAGGATCTGTGGATCGTAATGGAAGCGGCCCAGCACTTCGACCTGACTCTGACCGAGAACGACTACACGAAGGTGGTGCTGCGCTGGCGGCGAATGCTTCTCCGCCTTCGCGCAAAGGCCGCTTGGCACGCGCATGGCTTGCTCTTGTGGCTGTTGCCTCGTCCGCAGCTGCGGTACGCGCCCTTTCCGTACCCCAGCATCAGCCATACCAGACATTGGCAAGAACAAGCCGAATCTATGACCCTCCAGAAGCCAAAGGCATTGATGGTCAAGCACTGGCAACGAGCTCGAACCCAAGAACCGTCAGTGTACACGACCAAGAACCTCCTGGACTTGGGACAATTCAGGAACCGTGCTGGCCTCAACTTCGCCTTCATGGAGGACAACATGTTGCAAGGAATGCTTGCAGCGCGCGCCAGCAAAGGCCTGACGGCCCAACTGAAGCGGGATGCCATTCAGGAAGCCCAACTCGAAGCCGAGGCCGCTACCAAGCGTGGAGAGAAGCACGACATGGTGCGCTCCCTCATCGGCCCAAAGGGAGGCCTGCCAACGTTGAAGGCAGATCTGGTGAAACTGGCTTCACTCCTGAACATCCCCGTCCAGACTGGAATGACTGTGGAAGACCTCAAGAAAGCTTGCCGCCCCTTGGTTGCCGAGATTGCTCAAAAGCCAACTCCCTCGAAGGCAAGTGGATCTACCAGTTCAACGGAAAGACATGTCCCCGAGACGTCAATGGCGAGACCTTCTCAAGCGCCCGAGACAATTGGCGCAAAGGCCAAGGCATCTCCTGGAGTGACCGCCCAAGAGCTACAGGAAGTCCTCACCATGCAGGACCACAAGTTCCAAGGGATGCTGAACCAAGTGCTCCAGAGCATTTCGACCCTGCACCAAGCATCGCACCTGCCAGGACCTATGACTTCCGGTCCGATGGAAACCGAAGCAACCATGGACTTCGGCTGGACCCAGGACGAGATTCAACAAATGAACCGCGACTACTACCAGGACAACTTGGAGTGGCGCCAGGCCAATGGAATTCCTCCTCGCGACCAGTGAGACCGATGCTCGAGCTGGAGACGAATCCTTGGAGGATACATCAGGCGGTGAAACCTGGTCAGGCTAAAATGATTTCGGATGCTTGGGAGCGTCATGAAAGAGACCGTCGCCTTGTGTCGCTCAGTGCCAAGGAAGTGAATGAAGTCTATGAGGAGCAGTGGCATCGAGCGATGGACCACTTCCAGAACGAGATCTTTGTCACCACCCTCACCGTTGGCGATGAGAAGTCTTTTCAGTCCCATGCCATGTCTGAGAATAGGTTGATTTCAAAGAACCCCGACCTTGTTGAGAATGACCGCTTCCCCAAGACCTTTGTCACTGAGATCTACACAAACACGGAGCGAGTTGCGCAGACGGCTCGCAAACGAGGACATCGAGTGGGAGCCTCAATGAGCTTGGAATCAGGATGGAACTTTCTCCGTCCACTGGATCGCAAAGCTGCCAGAGCCGTCCTGAAGCGTGAAAGTCCTTTCTTTTTGGTGCTGGCATTTCCTTGTTCCTTTTGGAGTGTGTTACTCAACCTCAACCCTCCGAAGAATGGCACCAAGATGTATGAGGAAGCGATCACCCTCTTGCAGTTCGCCTCCAATTAGCCAAGGACCAGAAGAGTCGTGGTTGTCACTTTGTTTTGGAGAACCCTCAATCCTCTAGAGCATGGACCCTGGAAGAGATGCAAAGAGCCTTGGAGCAACTTGAGGCCCGTTGTGTAGTCTTCCACCAATGCCGATTCCACTTGAAGAACCAGGCGGGTGACCTACTTCGGAAAGCTACGAGGATAGCCACTTCGAGTGATGAGGTCCTTTCCCAGCTGGACGGCATGAAGTGTCTTGGCAATCACCCTCATGGTCACATCATTGGGGGAAAAGCTGTTTCAGAGCCCGCTGGCCACTATCCGTGGGCCCTCGCAAAGGCCCTGGTGGTTGGAATGGAAAAGCAATTTGAAGCTGACTTCAAAAGACCACACAACATCCTTGCCATCGAAGACGGTGAGGAGGCTGAAGATGAGACCGCCCTGCCGATTGACATGAACCTGAGTGACTCTGATCAGGAGTCCACTGAAGCTGTCACTGGACCCAAGGTGTCAGCTGCTGTGAAGCAAGCTCTTCGACGCCTACATGAAAACACGGGCCACCGATCTGGCCGTCGCCTAGCCAGAGCACTGGCTATCACTGGTGCCCCTCCGGACATCATCCATGCTGCTCGTCACCTCAAATGCTCAATTTGCGACGAGCGGAAGATCCCAAAGGCCAGACGGCCTGCTACCTTGCCACTACCCAAGGATGTGGGCGACCAGGTCCATGTGGACCTCTTTGAGATTGAAGACATTGGCGAAAAGCGCTTCTATGTGATCCATGCCATTGACTATGTCTCCAGGCTGCAGTTTGCTGAAGTTTTGGAAACAAAGAGTTCGAGCATGGTGGAGCGCTTCTTCAAGACCAAATGGCTTCCCATCCTGGGAGCCCCAAGAGTCCTGATAGCAGATCAGGGCAAGGAGTTCGTGTCTGCTGAGTTTGAAGAGTTCTGCAGTTCATGGAGCATCTACCTCCACCACACCGCGGTCCAAGCCCCTTGGCAGAATGGTGTATGTGAGCGCGGTGGCGCTATCCTGAAGGGCATTCTTCGTTCGTGCATCAAGGCTCATTCGGCCTTTGGAAAAGATGACGTTGAACTTTGTCTCCAGGAGGCAGTAAGCGCCTACAACTCGGACATCAACGACGCTGGTGTCTCTCCTATGCAAGCTGCCTTTGGAAAGCAACCCCGGATGCACGGAGATTGCCTTGGTGATTTTGGTCGCCGCTTGAGTGAGCATGGACTCATCGACTCTCGGCCAAGTTTGGCCAGACAAGTTGCCATGCGAGAGACTGCTCGCTTGGCGATGGTGCGCCTTCATTTTTCCAAAGGCCTTCGACGAGCTGAACTAGCCCGTTCTCGAGGACCGACTGCAGAGCATGGCCTATCTCCTGGAGATATCGTCTACTTCTTCAGGCAAACTCGGTTCAACAACCGAACAGCTGCATCCAAGAAACGCCTCAGTCTCAAGCGATGGCATGGCCCTGCCCTCCTCGTCGCTTTGGAGGGCAACGTGAATGGATATGTGAGTTTCAGAGGACAACTGACCAAGTGCGCCATTGAGCATTTGAGACCAGCCAGCTCCCTGGAACAAGTCGCGAGTGAAGTATGGCAAGACCTGTTGAACCTGTTCCTCTTTCGGCCGTACCTGAAGAAGCTCCTGCCGATCTACCACCTTTACATCCTCAAGAGTTTGTGCAAGCCCTCGGCAATGCTCAAGGTGGTCCTATCTCAAGAGGATGGTCTCGGCATACTTCTTCTTTGCCAGACTTAGGTACATCTCCATTTCCTGAAGCTGTACGAGCTGCCTTTGAACAGAGACGGCAGAGCGTTTCCAGTGCCGCCCCAAGTGCTAGTGGCGAGTCACAAGCTTCCAAAAGGCCTGCTGAACTGGATGCTGAGCGCTTGCGTGAAGAAGCTCTTCAACCAGACCCTGTTGCTCCAACTCCGGCTCAACCTCCAGGTGAAGTTCCTGATGAAGCCTCAGAAGCCCTGAGAGTGACTCATGAAGTGATGGAAATGGAAGCCTATATGCCAATGTGCATCCGCTCCGTCAGATCCAGATCATGGCGGAACAGGATCGTCTGAACCCTTTGGAAGCCAGAGTCCGAGACCATGGGACATGGCGTGGCAATTGGCCTCTCCCCTCGAGGACAGAATTCAGACGACGGCAAATGCTGAAGCAACTTTGGCCCCTTGGCAATGATGATGCTGCTCAGGAAGTGCTTGCAGTGCTCACCGCTCGTAAGGAGCATGTATGGAGTCACATGTCGGACTTTGAGAAAAAGGAGTTCCGTGAAGTAGCAGCCAAAGGATGGTCAGTATGGGTTGAAAATGAAGCCATCGAACCTCTTCCAGATGCCGAAGCTGCCCGCATTAGGCAGAAGTTAAAGACAGAAGGTGAAAGCCACCGCATCTTGGTTCCTCGCTTCGTCTATGTGGACAAGAATGACGGACTGAGGACGGCAGACCGGGACCTTCCACTCAAGGCCAACGCCAGACTGGTCGTCCCCGGATACCAAGACATTAGTGCATATGGCCTTCGTTGTGATGCCCCAACAGCGTCGAGAACTTCTCAGCATCTTTTGCTGACCTTTGCCGCCAGTATGAAGTGGAAGCTGGCAAGTGCTGACATCAAGTCGGCATTCATGAAAGGTGAAGAGTTTGGCCCCAATGAACGCATCCTCTACCTCGCCAACGTGAAGACCAGAGCACCTGATGAGCCACGCCTACCATTCCCTGAAGCAGGCTTATGCCGTGTGAAAAAGGGAGTATTTGGCTTAGCTGACAGCCCTCGTCGTTGGTATAAGAGGTTATGCAAGTCAGTACAACACCATGGTTGGCAACTTTCAGCTCTGGATTCGGCCATGTGGTTCCTGTGGGAAGGCTCCAAATTGGAAGGCATCCTCATCTCCCACGTGGATGACTTGCTACTGGCCGGAGGCCCTCGTGCGCACCACACCTTGCAATTGCTGGGTGCCGAACTTGGGTTTGGTTCCACCTCCACCGGAACCATAACCTATTGTGGAAAGAAGATTGAGCAAGCTGAAGATTTTTCGGTGAAAGTTTCCATGGAAGAGTACCATAGCAATCTTCAGCAGGTGCGCATCAACCCACTTCGAAAGAAGAATCCAGAGGCCACTTTGATGCCTGGAGAACAACGCCAGCTCAGAGCTCTCCTCGGGAGTTTGCAGTGGCTAGTAGCGCAAGTTCGCTTTGACTTGCAATTTCAGTTGTCGACATTGCAGGGTGCTTCCCAGACCATCGAGACGTTGATCCGCGCCAACGCCTTAGTTAGAAAGGCAAAGCTCCACGCAGACTTCGCTCTGCACTTCAAGCCCTTGGACATGAAGAATGCGGGGATCCTCGTTGTTTCTGATGCCTCGCTTGGCAATGTGACGAAAAGCGGTAGTTCCCACGAAGCGGCCATCAAGAAGGTCTATAGTCAAGCCGCCTACTTTGTCCTCATTGCTGACGAAAACCTCATGAGCGGCAGAGAAGGCAAGTTCACAGTGTTGGACGCCCGGTCTCATAGACTGAACCGGGTATGCAGATCGACATTTGCCGCAGAGTTGCTGGGCATTGAGGAGGCGCTGGATGCCGGGCAATATTGCCGCGGCGTGCTTGGCGAAGCTTTCGGTCATCCACTCGACCGGAAGCCCTTTGACCTTAGCACGGATTCCGTGCCCCTGTTGGTTGTCACCGACGCCAAGGATGCATTCGACAAATCCTGCTCAGAAACGCCGAGCTATGGCAGCCAAAAGAGTTTAGCTTTCACCATAAGCTGGATTCGTTCAATGCTGGCTCGATGCAACACGAGCATGCGTTGGACAGCAACAGAGAACATGATCGTAGACTGCGGCACTAAGGAGCTTGACCCTCAGCACCTTCACAAGATCCTGAGAGATTGCAAGTGGTGTGTACAGTTTTCCTCCCAGTACGTCAAACAGACGTCCAAAAGTAAGAAGCCCATGGCTAACTCACAACAGACCGGAAGGTTGGTGAGAAGTGACATGGGAGTCCCTTTTGAAAGCTCCTCCCCGTTGTTTGGCCATGTGATGAAGCTCTCACAGAGCTCAGGTTGGCACGCTTTGAATGAAGATTTGGCCGTCAACGTGTGCCGTCAGGCTCGTTCGTACAGGACCCCAGAGCCACGCTGTTCAAGAACGGCACATGCGTTTCGTTCCACTTTTGCCCGCTTTGACAGCGAACATAGTGTGATTTGGCGACAGTTGGAAGACTCTGTCGACATGCGAGAGCTCCAGAATCCTCGATCGATGCTTGAGGAGCCTGTCGCTTTGCTCGTGACCGTGTTCAGCCGTTGCCCAACCCCTCAAATGCCACAAGAGAAGGGGATGAACTGTGAAAGTTGAGTTTGCTCTTCGGTGTTGGGCAGGCGGAGGAACATGGTTGTTCATGTTCGCTTGGATCAAGGCCTGAAGCCATTTCGTGCTGCGCCTTAGGTGAAAACGGCGCGCTGGCAGACGCTCTTGCTAGTGCGTCTACAAGATCAAACATCTCAGGGTTTGTGGGTTATGGAAGACTTGCCAGGTGCAAGTGATGAACCATGAACCTCTACAAAAAACCTGGGAGTTTAAGATCGGCGTAGGGCGAAACCATTGGACAAGTTGATTGGTTGATAGTTGATGATTGGTGTATCAGAATTCGTAACCTACTGTATGTCACTGCTATAGGCAACATTCCAAGAATCAATCCTATAACATGTGAGTCATGTGATATCCTTGGGCATTGTACTTTGCCACTGAGTTTGACTCAAAAATATATCTGCTTCGAACCTATCAGGCGCCTACTTGCTACACAAACACCGCGGTGACACCGAGGTGGTGGCAGGCTTCTTGGTGCCTGCGGAGCTTCAGCCACAGGCTCGGGAGCGTGTGACGCTTGGGGGGGGCGTGGGCCAGCGAGTATGGGGTGAGGCACCGATGGCACCGATGGCACCAAACCAAGGGGGTCGGTTGACGTCCTGACCATAGAGGAATCTGTTCATGTTCGGTGGGAAAAACCCAGGGGTTCCCCGGTTTTGACCCACCAGATTGGATTCTGAATTCCATGCTATTAGGTCTTGGGAGATCCAGCAGAGAATGAACAAGTCGAGCAGATGGATGTCTGGCGAATTGCATCTTTTCGTTGAGCATGTTGATTCATGTGTTGCATTTGTCATTCCTGGTGATGTGATCCCAAAAAATAAAGAAGCAAGGGCTTCAGAACGAGCTTTCTGTGTCTTCAAGTGGCCTGGAGTGAGGTAGCACCCGGAGTTAGTGAGGAATGGCCTGACGAGTGCCCAATGATTTTAAGACGCCACGTGATGCCACGCGGTCCTCCTGAGCCCCATGCCTCATGCGTCATCACACGGTAAACTCCCTCACCACATAGAAAATTATCTCAGAACTTCTGTTTTTACTCATTTTACCTCACCTGGAAGTCCTAATCCCCCAATACCAGCATCATGCCATACTGGCTGTCCTTTTCCCTGGTCTCTCAGGGATTCCAACCCGTCGAGCCATGACTGGACTTCAGGCCGCCGCTGTTCGGCCTTGTCACATCGTCCGAAAAAGAAAGAAACAGGATGAAAACAGAGAGAGTAGAGATGAGTAGAGTATATATATAGACAAAAAAGGAAAACTCACCAAAATTAACAACATGTTGTTTGTTTTGTGTCTTTTAATTGTTTGTTTTTTACACCATCACACCGAGTTATTTTTGACTCACGGGACCGTGAACGACGCGTGGACGCCATGAAGCCGCCGAAGTGGCTGTGGCGAATGGCCGAGGCCGGCGCTGAAAGCGGGATTCGAATCATCCCCAGTTGGGGCGAGAAAACCTAAAACCCACTTATGACATTGTATACGACTCTCTCGCTTCTTTTTGTTCAACTAGCAGAGCTAAGTCTTGTAGTTGGGTAGGTGATGTAGACTCTTGATTAATGCAACCTCTCATGATGAGGTTTCTCATTTTGTTGTTGATCAACAGGACCTACCCTTGAGGAAAAAAACAAGCATGGACGGAGGCCTTTGAGATCAGCTGCAGTGATGTGTTTGAGATCAGTTACAGTCAATCCTACCGCACCAATTCGTTGAACCACCCACAAGAAGACTTCCTGTAGTTGACTGGGCACCCTGCAAGAAGAGCCCACAACATACGTAACTCATAACCCACGACGACCGCATGGTGTCTTTGCATGAACCGGGTGATAGCTTCCATAACGAATAGCTCCTTTGATGTTTGCCCAAAGCGGGCGTTCACCGAGCAACTTAATCTGCATATGTGTTTGACCGTTCTTGTTTTGTTTGTTTGTTTGTTTGTTTGTTTGTTTGTGTGTTTGTGTGTTTGTTTGTTTGTTTGTTTGTTTGTTTGTTTGTTTGTTTGTTTGTT